CTGGACCGCGGAAGACCTCTCAGCAGGGGTATGGTCATCTGGCCACTTTGTTACTTGTTTAAATTTTTAACTTGAAAAAATTTTAGAGTGGATTTCATGGTGGGGAAAAATCCAAAAATTTTAGAAAGCTGCTTTTGTAATACTATGAGCTCAAGGTAGCTGGGGTCTTGGCAGGTTGTAGGGATACACAGAAGGATGAGATACTGGAGTACACGCTGCGCTAGTGGAGGCCGCAGAGGAGCTGTTAAAAGTGAGATTTTAAACTTGGATGATGGGGTGCTGATGATTCCAGTTCATGTGATAATAGAGTTCTAAGAAAAATGATAACAGCATTTTTCATTTCAGTTAATGCTCCTCAGTTATATATGGAGAAAGCATAGCTTAGCTCTGTCTTCGGTTTTGGTTATTGGTATAGATAGAGCCTTCAAATGAGTTAAAGGAGCTATTTCTACATTATTTAAATTGGTTAGCATGGGCTGGAGAGATGGCTCGGTGGTTAAGAGCACTGATTACTCTTCCAGAGGTCCTGAGTTCAATTCCCAGCAACCACATGGTACCTTATAACCATCTGTAACAGGAACAGATGCCCTCTTCTGGTGTGTCTGAGGACAGCTACAATGTACTTACATACATTTTAAAAAAATAAATAATTCTAAACTAGTTAGCACAGAAAACTGGCCGGCATAGAGATATGTATAATTTCATAAGGTAAGGTTGGTATGGTCTGATGAGAGGCTCAGTACCCTGAGCGCCCGCTGTGCCTAATAAAACGCTGTGTTAATATGAGCACTCACATATTTTACCTATCCGATATAATTGCATAATGCACAGGACTCATTGTTTCTATCCACTTTTAACTACTTTAGTATATTGTTGTACAGGCAATTTTAGCTACACTCATCATTGCTGTGACCCAGTTCCTGACAGGAAGCAACTTAAAGGAAGAACACCTACCTGTGGGGTGGTACACTCACTGTACCACATCTTTGTGAAAATCTCTTCCCCCATATTTGTGAGTTGACTGATATGCAGTGGCATTCTCAAACTTAATAATTAAATGCAGAAAATCTAGATATTTGCCTATATTAGGAAAGCAATGCCTCTCATTATTTTCCTAAGTATATACAGAAGTATGTATGTTCAGCTCCAAGACCACGGTGCTAGGAGAATCCTGTACAAACTCATCTTCTACAGGAGAACAGTAAAGTAAAATCAGAGTGCTTAAAGCATTAGAGTTTATCTCAGTACACTTGACAACAACAACAAAACAAACAAAAATGTATATGTGTGTGTATATATATGTATATACACACTTAAGTATATTTTTGTATTTGTATCTTCACAAATACAAAAAATATGCTTGGTGTGATATTGTCAGCTTATCCAGAATCAGCTAGGAGACAAAGGTCCAGACATAGCTGTAGGAGATTCATTTCTAGGCATGCCTGTGTGAGATTACATTGATGAGGTTAATTGAGGGGGAAAGAGGCTAACAGTGGGTGGTACCATTTCTTAGGCTTGGGTCCTGGGCTGCATCAAAAAGAAGACATTATCTGAGCATGGAACATGGGCGTTCATAACCCTCTGCTTCCTGATCTTGGGTGCAATATGACCAGTTGCTTTAACATCTTGCTGCCTTGACTTTCTTTCATGGTAGATTGAACTGTGAGATAAATAAATCCTTTCTTTCTTGTGTTGCTCTTTTTCCCCCAGGATATTTTGCCACAGCAACAACAACAACAAACAAAAACAAACAAACAAACCTAAGATACTCAGCATTTGTGATTTTCAATGAATGTAAAATCTCTACAGGTTTTTACAAAACATATTCAGCTACATCCCTTTACAGTATAATGGGATCACCTCTATGGTGTCCAGAAGTTCTACATCATCTCACTGCTACCCATATAAGGATTTGTGTTGTGAGCAATGAAACGTAATTACCAAGGACCAAAGGTCCTTAAGTAACCAAAACTGTTTTCCTCCTTGTCAAACATATTAAGACAAAAGAGACTGCTTGTTGTAATTGCACTGACTGTAACTAGGCCTGGCTCTTTCTCCTCTGCTGTTTGCCAGTTATGGAAGGAAGATAGGGAGGCTTGACAGCGCTGTGTGTCCAAACATCTGTGCTCACTCAGTCTCTGCCTCTTGACAGTGTTCTGGGAAGGGTGTCCTTAGATGGTTTCCAGGACTGCACTTCATGAGGGAGCTGTGGTCTTAGGTCCTGCTCCTTTGTGTTTTGTCTCCTAAAGCATGATGGGAAGAAAGACTTGAAGTATTTTGGGGTTTGGACAGAACTTTCCTCTTCTCCAAAACTCTTAGTTTCATCATATTTTGTCAAGCATTTTGACATTTAATCCCCCTTTTTAAAAAAAAAAATCAAACCATAAAGCATAACTAACAGAAAATTCTGGGAATAACAAGTTTATAACATACTTTTAGTGACTAAAAGGCAGTATAGACAAGTCTTGAAAAGTACATACTAAATAACATTTTAAAATTATTCAGATGTATCTTTGATTTTAGGTAATGATGTCGAATATTTATATGCAGATGACTTCTAAAAACATATATTCACGGAATTTAACTTTAATTTAGTTTTTCTTTTAAAGTAGGCGATTGTTGTTTTCTGTTATATGGTATCCTGTTATTCTATATACAGGCATTCCAGTGTGATTATATGTTCTAAACCTTAGCACATCTAAGCATTATCTTTTCTTATTTTTAAGAAAGAAAATAAGATTGGCCCAAGTTTGCATTAAGTGCCTGGCTCTGCCCTCCATACCATCTTCTCTGCCAACTCTAGCATGATGTGGTAGGACTGTCTGACACAAACACCATGGCCTCGGACACACTGTCACCAAAGGCAGTGACTGAGGCTGTTCAAACAGGAAAGAAGGAGCAGATGGGCTGGATGGACATGTCTGTCCCACCACTTGACTAGGATAGATTTGCATGGATTTTGCTGCTGTGAAACTGCTGAAAGTAAAGCTGATCCCAGTCCAGAAGTGCTGGCTGATCCCAGTCCAGAAGTGCT